GCAGCGGATCAGCATGACCAATGGTTGGAGAGGTTCGAGCAATTTCAGTAGAATCGCTGACTTCAGAGGCACCAACATAACGCATAAGAAGTAACATTCTACAATAAGCGGCTTTCGTAGCTTTAACAACGAGCAAGGCACACCTGGATAGGTTAAATAGTAAAAGAGGTGCAAACAAAAGCAACCTGCATGCCATCGTATATTGTCACCGAAATAGCAGTGTCCATACTGAATATAATCGTACCGTCGGTCGCCTCCGCTGTGATACAATATTTCGACCGCTTCAAATGTTATCGTTCAGGTGCGCATGCCGCTGCATTCTTACAGAGGAAAACCATCGGCAAACAGAAACGTTTGTGTTTCATCGACTTTCAGGCTTTTCAGTTATGTCGAAGGCAGATTTTTCCACAAAAACCACAGCTTCTTACGCACTTCTTACGGTGGATAACCATCGTTCTGTATACCAGCATGGCGGGAGGACAAAAAGTTCATTCAGGAGCATCCAAGAAACGACGGGCCTTCTTCAGACAATGACTTCATTAATCGCATAACTCCTCAGCTCAGGGCACGCGACATGGCCGCGCTGACGAACAAGATATGGTGGCGAAGCATCGGCCACACGACTTCATACCAGATTGGGACCAACCATACAATGCAGACTGAAATACATAAAATTCATTCGTTCATAAAGATTATGCGCTGCTCAGAGTGTAGACGCCAAGACAAAAAAACTTGATCATGCTATTCAGGAAAAAATTCAAACTAAAGCCCCCAGTCTTTCTACTGAAATAACAGCGTATGAGCATATGTCCAAAATGTCACTTAAATGTTAAAACATCTATCGAGCCTTACAAGCGAGACGTTTCGGACCTACAACAAAACCGACCATGTAGAAATACATAAATATAGACGTTTTAGCAAGATTAACCTTAAACTGATGTCACAAAGTTGCACTGACAAAAGCTGCAGCCCCTTAAAACTAAATACGTTTCATACTTCACAAATGAACTTTGACCTACTTCGTTTAAGGCATGCATAATAACCAATGTTTGTCAAGAAAATGAAGCAACTTCAAGCGAAAGCGAAATTGCTGTACAACTGCATGTTGTTTAACGGACAAACTTTACGGACGGTCATAAAAACCCTACACAAAAAGCCGCTGAACGGCATATGTCCAAGTCTACAACGAACCTGATTACTGCAGTTTTCAGAATTCTTTTACATCTGCCTGTTACCTAGGCATCTGGATCTTTGCCAGGGAGGACATTTTACCGTAAATCGTTTTCGCAGACATGTTCTGAGTTCGCCTAATCTCCGCTTTGATATGCGCGTTCCTAATAAAGCAAGACCGAATACCGCTCACTTTTCGGTGCCGCATTAAATCACAGCATGGTTAAATTCTACTTTCCAAATAGAACGAACTTAAACATCTGTCGAATGCTAATAGAAAACGTTTCATACATTCAATGAGTAACTATAAGACTATTAGAGTTACTATTATGCGAGTAAGCAATCATTCACCTATATTAAGTCTTAACTCAACTGTAAAGCTATTCGTTACAATAGACTACCCATATATGGTAAGGGCGTACTGCAGCACTAACGCTGAACGCTGACATGCAGATCAGGATTGTCCTCATAATTAGTTTCTGCCTACAGGGATGAACAAAACCATACTGCATGAATAAAAATTTGTGTCAATCATTCTATGACAGATTTACATGCTCTTCGGTAAGATTCTGCATTATAAAAACCACGCTTGCTTACATCAACGACAAATTAAACGAGTTTATTAATTTCACGATTACCTTACACTGTCACTGAAACATCAGCTCAGCAGTGTTAATACTCTTGATTCCCAAAGGAGATCCGACATACAGGTACCGGAATAAATGCAACCTGATCTTGAACCTGTGAATCGGTTGTTCAAAACACAGAGGAAGGTATCCGTCCATGCTTCAATAGGGCATTCAGATTTATTCCGTCAAGTAGGTCTGAGCTGCTTCGGCCAACCGGGTTCTAGCTATCCGAATCCATCCATCAATGGTGATTCCTCCAGCTAACTGGCAGTTAACGCATGTGAGATAGTGTGCCAAGGTCTCGGTGGATGGCTTATTGGTCTGAAACCAGTTGCGGAGATTGTGAGACAGCCACTTGTGATTAACTTTGATAGAGGCTCTACTACAAAATCCGGTGGCGTGCCATTCAGTGGGACTTCAGATAAAACTGAACAAACGTACAGAAAACGGTGAAATATACGTTACTGATTATTATGCTTAACCAACGCCAGTTACACGGAACGAACATCAAAGGAGCGTACGCCGCTGCCGGGTAATCCACCTAGCGCGTCGATGATGATAGTACCGATTAAGCAGCAAAAAAATTAGCTTCCTAGGAAATTGTCAAATTTTATTTATCAGCGATATATGGAAGAGCGCTAAATCGTTTCAAAGGCTCCGCCGAACCATTACCCACTGAAAAGCGTTCTTTCCTCTGCTGTTTCAAGGAGGGAGTATGCCTTATCTGCATGGTAATGCTATATTTCGTCGGCGCAATGGACCTAACGTTGACAATTCACAACCGATTGTTTCTGCTCAAACATCTTTTGATAGTAATCCCACCGCGAAAACTGTTACTTTTGGTTCAGTAACACACTGTCATAAGCCACTAAAAAATTTAGGGTGTTTCACTGCTGAAGTGTCGCTCAAGCTGATGCGGTTCTGTCGTCAAATAGGACGTCGTCTTTGCAGCACAAGTATGCGAATACACTGCTCGGTTCATATCGTACTTCACGAGTGATCTACCGCACGATCGATACGAATCACAACTGTACCAGCGGCACAGTGAATATAAGATGCTCGAGGCATTTCACGTGGCATTAAGTTCAAGCGGCAAGAGCTGCTTTTTCCATTACCAACACAGGTTCTTATAACTGTATC